ATGTCTATGGGTCACAGCAACCACTTACTATCAGGTGCACTGTGTGCTCGTATACTTTAAAACAATATATTTTCTGCATTTTCTGTCAATTCTTTTAGGTAAATTTTATGACATTCTAAATGAGGCTGTTGTTCTGCTTATTTTTAATTTTGTATTGTAGTATTTATCATTTTGGAATGTAATCTGTGAAGATATTGTTTCTACTTACGTGTACGTTGTATTTCCCATTCGTTCAAAGGCACTCCCATTCTTCCTGAAACTAATGAGGAACGAAATGAATCAATTGAAAATGACATTATTAGTCAGCGACCCGCTCTGGTTTTGCACAGGTAAAACTAAGTATCTCCGGTATGACGACTTGGCTATCACCAGCTACGTAGGTACATAAAGGTATATTGTCTTAGTGGGAAACGTGCAGCAGCAAGTTCATTTTGCGTGCGATGAACACTGGTAATACTTACACCGGTATATACTATTACATTTTTTATTTATTGTTACCTCAGATAGTTACCGTTAAACCGTTAAAAGTCCTATTAAAAGTTCACTGTCGAACTGTTCGGCAGCCGTTTTTTTTATAGGTTAGGGTGACAAACGAGCACACAGTCTACCTGATGGTAAGTGGTTGCTGTGGCCCATAGACATCTACATCTATCCTCCTTTGCGAATCAAAATGCAGATGCGTTGTCACCCGTGAGGACTAAGATTGAATGTCTCTTTTCCAGTAAATAGGGTCTCCGGTTCTCTACACTCACCATACTAAAAACACAGCAGTGTGAAGCTGCTATTTTACGCAGGTATTCTGTAAGAGCGTGGTCCGTCCCCGGTCGAGCTGACCCATTCGTGCTACAACTATACTACTAATATAGCTGCAGCATGGCTCTACCACGTATTAACCACGTTGCCTCATATTTGCCATAATTACCACGCTTAGTAGGCGGGTTGGCAACCACAGTTTTTTTATTTTTAGTTATTTTTAGAAAGGCGGTGCTGCCAAGTATGGTATGAGGTAGTGGACATTTTTACACTGGCACTACACAGAGCCGTGGTAGCTCAGATGGTTAGCGCTCGCTGTAAGTTTCACAGTACTCGAGCAACCCGGGTTCCCAATGAAATTGTTTATTGCAATTTTAAGTGTTGATTTACCACGTGCTCAGCGGTGAAGGAAAACATCGTGAGGAAACCTGCATGTCTGAGAAATAAGAAAAAAAATTCGAAGACATGTGAAGTTCACCGACACGCATTGGGGCAGCGCGGCGGACATTTCCTTGCCCTAAAACCCTCTCAGAAATGAGAGGAGGCCTGTGCCCAGCAGTGGGACGTAAATAGGCTGCAACTTTACTACACGGTTATGATAATAATGAACGCAGATAATTATGAACGTAGATGATATCTCACTGTCGTAGATATCATTCCAAATTTTCTTGTTAGTCGAAGTAGGGTACATTTTTTAATATAACTGATTTTGATGTGATCATGTTACGCAGTGCTATTATAAAATAGTCCTTTTTTATAGAATAAAGGTAACAAGCGAGCACACAGTACACCTGATTGTATACTTGGTAGTGTTCTATTATGACACGAATGGGTCGGAACGACTGGAGAAGGACCATGCTCTCACAGAATACCAGCGTAAAATATCAGCTCAATGCTGCTGTGTTTCGTATGGTGGGTGTAGAGATCCGCAGACCCCTTTTACTGAAAACGAGGCATTTCACCTTATTCCTCAGGACTAGCAGTGCATCTGCATTTTGATTCTTAAACGAGATTAGATGTAGATGTCTATGGGCCACAGCATTCACTTACCATCATGTGGAATGTGTGCTCGTTTCTCACACTTATTCTATAAAGAAACACGTCCTCTAAGACATTCCTAATTATGTTAGTCTATTAAAGTTACCTACGGTAGCAGGTAATGAAATTAGACAAGATACAAGCAGCTGCACTTACAGAAACATAAATGGCCGATTCTGGGAGATACCACAATGAAACTTTCCCCAAAACCATTCAGAAACTAAACTAGTTTTAAAACCGTTTATACTTATATAAATATTTGTATAAAAATAAATATAATTAGTAAGCATTTAAGAGTTTTATTAAATAGAAATTATTATTATTAATTATTAATATAATATAAACACTTCTTACCACATAATGTTGCTGCATAAAAATTAAATATGATAATGATTCGAAATATCATATGTGATGCAAACATTGTTTATTGTTCTTATTTTTAAACTATTAAACATAGATATTCCTTTAAAAAAAAACTGCAAAATGCGATCTGTTTCTACAACAGTCTTAAAAATAATGTTCTCAATTTGAAATGCTGGCAGTATATAAGGGACAAATAAAATGTTTGTTGTTGGTCATTGTTTTGTAAACGATCGAATGTAGGAATTTGGTTGAACGTTGGAACGTTGAAATGGCGGGAAATGAACTTCTATACAAAACTTATTTTTATTTAATCATCATCATGGAGTGCCGGTGTTAGAATATCCACTACCCCATATAATTCCGTGGGTGTTGTAAGACGCGACAGAGGGAAACTGATCAGGAAATGGGCAGCAGCGTTTTGCTAATAACGAAAAAAAATATAAAATAACTGAGGTGCCAACGCGCTTGACAAGTGTGGCAAGTATGGTAAATATGAGACAATCTATAGGTGAGGCCTTTGTTCAGCAGTGGACTGTAACTGGCTGTAACGGTTTAATCATTATCGTATTAGCCTATCACAAGGCTGAAATAAACGTAGGCCTTCGTAGTTAGGCATGGATGAGGTAGTCGCTCCCAAGCTGTTTATTAAAAAAAAAATTGAAAATAATTTGTACAACCTGTGTTTTTATTGTATAGTATACTTTGAAAAAAAAAGTCCCGCTGGGTTTCTTGCTAGTTCTTCCTAGGATAGATGTTTTTCCGAACCAGTGATAAAATTATAATTTATATAATTTATTTCCGGATTTATATAATTATAATAAGTTATTTCCGGATCAATTAAAATAGATAGTTAAGATTGATCCGAAAAGTTACTGAAAATAAATACAATAAAATGGATGTAAGTGGCAAAAGTAGGCATCATCATCATTACATCTCTTTGCAAGTCCACTGCTAAAAATAGACCTCCCTCAAGGAATGCACAATGTACATTCCTAAACCAGTTGCATCCATCGACTTCCAGCATGTCTTAGCAGGTCGTCAATCTAGCTAGTAGGGGGGACGCCATACACTATATCTGCCATTACGAGGCTACAACTCGAGAACCTTTCTCCGCCATTGGTTGTTGATTTTTCAAGCTATATGGCCGGCCTACTTCAGCTTACTAATCCGTTAGGCTATATCAGTTACTCTGGTTCTACTACAGATATCCTCGTTTTTAAGTCTATCATACTGAGAAACTCCGAGCTGTACTGAAGTTGCGTAAGTACCGCCGCATGTGTGTGAAGATCTGTCTGTTCAGTTGTTTTTATGTTGTCATATCTGTTACAGACTACAGATTAATTTCTCGTCTTACAGCCATGAATTAAGAGTGTGACCGTAGAGTAAGGTTCTTCTGCGATGGGTCTTACAGAACTTCTGATTGCATGGACAGTATCCACGAGCTTGTCATTCATATCTTCCTCTGTATTAAAGTCTTCTAGGCACTGAAAACAATTTTGTTACTCGAGCTAAAAGTTTTCAGAGCTTTGGATTAGACCTCGACGGGGACGGAGGAGTTGACTTCATTAGACGCGACCTCCCTTACTTAATGTTTAGGTTTTTTTTATAGGATTAGGGTGACAAACGAGCACACAGTTCACCTGATGGTAAGTGGTTGGTGTGGCCCATAGACATCTACATCTATCCTCTATTAAAAATCAAAATGCAGATGCGTTGTCACCCGTGAGGACTAAGATGGAATGCCTCATTTCCAATAAAAAGGGTCTCCGGTTCTCTACACTCACTATACGATACACAGCAGCGTAAAGCTACTATTTTACACTGGTATTCTGTGAGAGCGTGGTCCTTCCCCGGTCGAGCCGACCCATTCGTGCTACAACTATACTACTAATATAGCTGCGGCATGGCTCTACCACGTAAGAGGTTCATTGTGACTCTCACTATTCGGTGATCGCTGCTAGTTTTACACTCGCAATCACTGAGACAATACAGAACAGTTGCCGTCTAGTCGTCATAATGAAGTCAATCTTATTCATAGGGATAAGAAATCAAATAGATTTTGTAAAAAAGGAGCGTAAGCTGAGTGTATTAAAGACTTAAGGTTTATAGTACGGACAGAAAACGTTATGAATTTAATACCGTTACGGTGCGTATAGTAACATGTTGTATAACTTTTTTATAACACGTCGACATTACGTAACATTGTTTTTCAACATTGCAACAAAAAACAATACTGTACACATTAGAATAACAATACAATACAACAATGTTATATGACATTGTCGTTTGTCGTTGCCCCGCGCGACGCTTCCGTCGCATCTCGAGTTATATAACATTCGTTTCATAACATTCTGCCTTAACATTACTGAAACATGTTGTAGAAATAACATTTTATAACATGTTATGTTATATAATTATATACTGACAGATGGATGTCATACGAGCAACATAATTTTAAATTGGGTCAAAGTTAATCAGAAGATAAAGCTTCTTGCTACATAAAAATAATACATTTTATAAAATACAATATACAATTAATTCACAAGCTTATTTATTTAGATTAAATATACCAAAATGTATTTTCACCATATACGAAATTTCATACGATATAATTCTTGATACGGAAAACTAATTTCTAAAAGGTCTTGCCTTTTCCTTATTTATACTTTCAGAGCACAGTGTTTTGAGTCATGATGATGATGATGTCTTCGAACTAATTTACAAACGGCCTTGCTCTGTCCTTTTATCGACTACCACAGTGTCATTATAGTCTCTCTATTTAATTTCCGAACTCATGGAAACGTTATCTTGCCAAATAATGTAATAAAACAGCTTAGGAACCATATTTATATATAGCTATTGTCAACACAGTGCACTATATTATTTGCTTCTCGTAGTCTGCCTTCTTTCGATTTAATCGGATCAAGTTTCCAAACATCTTCTATGTTTACTTGCTGATCTCTCTGAAAAATAAGTTAGTTTTTAGTTTTATTTCAAATTGTTATCATTTTTATGGTCCACGTGATTCTATTACGTGTAGTATCATTCTCGCTGTTGGTTTTTTGGATGTACAATCTAATAACACGTTAGATTGCATTGTAAATGGCGACAATGGAAAAATCTAGAAAAATGTTATGACTTACGATAGACGGAGGTATTTTGTCCCATTTTCTGACCTCAGAAAAAAGTTATTTATACATTAAAATATATCGAACAAATTAAAACTTACAGTTTAATGAATAAATTAGTTCAATTGTGTCAATTTTGTATTCAGGCAGGTTATAATTTATTTGATGGATAACTTTTGTTTGACCATTGAAAAATCGACCTTTAGATATAAAATACCCAGACAGGCTACCAAAAGTTTCAAAGGTGTGAGACGTCTGGTACTGTTATCGTCAATTCCCCTAGCAATCGTGACGATTAAGGCAAATTCGTCATACAGGGTTATTTTACAATAGCCGGCAAAATTTTTAGAGAAGGTTCAGAATAAGTAATATATGAAAAATAGGAAAAAAAAAATTAAAAAATCTCAATCATTGTGTCCTTTTTATCTTTTTAATTCAAAATGCGTGGTAATACATTATTTTAATTAATTATCATTCATAAATATCTAACGCATACTATTTTACTATTCACGCACACATTCGTAAGGGTCGATCGGTTGACAAAACATTGTGAATAGAATTGCACACAGAGGATCGCGTGTACGCATCGTTGTTACCAATAAAATCACATTCAATTTGGGATAGTAGCAAATAAAAGTAGAAGCCTCATTTACTCGTATTATCGAGATCTGCAATAACGGTACATCATTATTTATATATTTGAACTTAAGTTTAAAATTTGGCAATTTTTTGAAAAATAACCCTGTATAACGGGAGATCCAATAGTAAACTTTTAAGAGTTGCTGATGAAGAGGCAAAAGAAACTTCTGGAATTTAGTTTTCCTCTTCACAGTACGCTACGTGACTGAGTTTCCTCCCCATATCAGCAGTGAAAAACCAATGTCTCAGTTTATTGTTTTAATCCACAATTTAAAAAACACATACACTTAAATAATATTCCAAATAGTAACGTAAATTTTAATATAATATCCTATGATTAAAGCTCGTCCCGTGTGTAAAGAGGCGACAAAGGGAAATTGAAACAGGTGATGGGCAGCAGAATCTTCCTGAATAAAATTACGGTTGCCAACCCGCGTGTCAAACGTGGCCAACTATAGGAAAATCCCTCCTATGAGGCAAACTATGAGGTAGGCCTATATTCAGCAGTGAGAGAGGCAGTAGCAACAAAATTAAAAGACGTAAACATATCAGTTATGAACCGTTCTTGCTACTATAATTTCAAGCTTACGAATTAATAGTTGCTTAGTATTTAAATGATATAGTTAGAAATTGCTAAATGATTTAAATATTTTAAAAAGTCTTACCTCTATTTCCATATCGATGGCATCATCTGGGTTTAAAACAATTAACGGTACCATTTCAAAACTGGATGCTAGTCCGAAGAATGAGTACTTCTTTATTTCATCCATAAACACATCTCATGAATAGGCACTGTAAGGGTCGCTGCCCATGCCTTTGATTTGGTTCGACAGAACTTCATAATAGTACGTTAAAAGATCATTATAATGTTTTTGTCTTAAATCATGACTGTTGTAAATAAAATAACTTATGTCTAGTACTGGACTACCAAATCTACTTAGTTGAAAATCTATTATATTCGCATCCACGACATCATTGTTATTATAATTATACAAAAAATTATTTGTCCAAGGATCACCATGTGATATCGCCGCATTTTTTGTATCCTTGACTTTTTCAGCCACCTGCAAATGTTCTTTGGTATCGTTTATACTATAACTTGCACGTTCATGTCTACACCATTGTAATTTACTCCATGAATCCTTATTTTTCTTACTATGCTTAAGTAAGAATCACCTTTACTAATTTCTCCGACATACTGGAAAACAGAAAATTAATTTACATTACTATTGTTTTGACAGTCCTTTACATGTTTTACCGTTGGATATTACATTTGAGGATCATTACAATTCAAAATGGGAGATAAAATAACGTTTATTAGACTATTACAAGTATATAAAAGCTTTTAGAAAAATTTACTTCGCAAATATCCGCGTTATAAAATAAAATGATGTGTCTTACCGAGTATGAAGAGCACCTCCCGCCCTCCCTTAATTAAGTGCCTAGTGTAGTGGTGTAGGGAATTGAGGGAGGGCGGGAGGTGCTCTTCATACTAGGTAAGACACATCATTTTATTTTATAACGCGGATATTTGCGAAGTAAATTTTTCTAAAAGCTTTTATATAATGTATTTCCGCAAAGTAACGCCTGATTCTATTAATTATATTACAACTATATTGGCTGTTATTTACAATGAGCACAAATTACAATATAATATCCTACAGATCGAATTCCCGTCACGGTGGCCAGTCTCAATGAAGACTAGCCTTTTGCGCAGGACAGGATTATAGAGTCTGAGTGTAAACGCAAGCACAGGCGCATTCTCTATTCCGTCACTCTTTCATAGTTCGAATTGACGGTAATTTTAAGTGGTAGAGCCGTGCTGCAGCTATATTACTGGTATAGTTGTAGCACGAATGGGTCGGCTCGACCGGGGAAGGACCACGCTCTCACAGAATACCAGCGTAAAATAGCAGCATAACTGCTGTATTTCGTATGGTGAGTGTAGAGAATGGAGACCCTTTTTTACTGGAAACGAGGCATTCCATCTTAGTCCTCACGGGTGACAACGCATCTGCATTTTGATTCGTAATCGAGGGTAGATGTAGATGCCTCTGGGCCACAGCAACCATCAGGTGGACTGTGTGCCCGTTTGTCACCCTAATTAAATAAAAAAAAACCGGAAGGAGATTAGACAACGGCTTTACGTGCTTTTCAAGGTACGGGGGTGGAACGACGCTAAATTCCTAACTCTGGACTAGCAGTCCAGAGTAAGGAATTTGGCGCTGAGTTTACTGTGAGAAAACCCAATAAATTATTTTGGCACGACAGGACTAGATGACCACTAGATCTTTAGTAGTGGAGTTCCATCGGACTTTGAAAGCGAAGAGTAGACCTGTGTTTGCTAATCCTGTTCTGCGTAGATGGCTAATCTCGGTTGAAACTGACCGGCGAGACCGAAATTCGGTCTAGAAGAAATTATTTTTATTATAATCTAGTAACAATATCTTTAATATTAATTAAAAAATCAAAATCTTTATTATTAGAAAGAACTCTCTATTCAGGACAAGAGTTTATTTTAACGTTCATACGTTAAATTTGCATGTTTTATTAATGCACAAAGTACAAGGATTTGACTCGACAATATCTCATAATATATAAAATGTAACATTTGGTTTTTTGTGCCTACATTCATTGTAAATAAAAATATTTATTTTTTATATTTATGTTATCAAATTTTAAGTCACGAATTTACATAATATCTTGGTGTTCTACTGGAAAGACCATTCCTAGTTTTTTTTTTTTGACATCATAATATTCAATAATAGTATTCTGTGAGAGCGTGGTCCTTCTCCGGTCGAGCCGACCCATTCGTGCTACAACTATACTACTAATATAGCTACAGCATGGTCCTACCACGTATAAAAAAGCTTGCCAAGTTTAGCAACTATGGCATATATCCCTCCTTTGAGTCAATCTGTAGGGGAGGCCCAGTGGCGGATTTACCAGCAGGCTGAGTAGGCTGGAGCCTAGGGCGGCAGAATTTAGGGGCGGTGAATTTGGGGCTAAAACTTATTCATTTTTCACTTGGTTGATAAATTTTCCTACAATTTGCATAGTCGCGTTTGATTGTGGCGCGAAAACGAGCGATATGACCGTTCGCTAAGTGTGTTTGGTCGAAATGCCTGACAACAAGCGAGGCTCGGCCGCCACGGGAGCGGTAGCAGGATCGTACTGTTGAAGGCGTACGCTGCGTGTTGGCATTGAGTTCGAAACAAATAGATGTATTTACTTTAAAACCAAAAGAAAAGCTGCCTCGGTTGAATCCTGGTGCGATTTCTAATACGTACTAACATTTCTCTGGCACAATTTTTTTGAAAATTACTTATTGGAAAAACGTTCTGAATAGGATTCTTGCCGTAGTATGATAATGCCGCAAACATGTCTGTGTGTACAATGGCTAAAATTCAAAGCCAGGCACCTTTTGCTTTCTTCGTTTCTTGCTCTGTCCTCTCTTAAAATTTAGTCGCAACTGCCGCTGGTGAATGTTGCACAGAAGCTTGTCGCTTCTTCAGTTCTTTGTAGCTGAACGAGAATTTTTTAAGTATTTCCAAAAAAAATGATCGAAATAAGCTTGTCGAAGCAGTATACAAAAGACGTGGCGGAAAATAGAACCGGAAAGGAAAAAATATATGATCAGACACCTGATAAAGAAATGAGAATGACTTCGAGTGATACTTTCAGGGTTAATAGATTTCCTGTCCTCATTGATAGACTCCTATCTGAATTAGAAAAACGGTAATGTGATTGTAAACTAGGGCATCGAATTGTAGAAGATCGGTAGGGGCGGCAAAATTAGAATAGCCTACTGGCGGCAAATGTGTAAATCCGCTTCTGGGGAGGCCTATGTTTAGCAATGGAATTTAATAGGCTGTAACGATAACAGAAAATGTAAATATGCTAAAGAAAATGTTTTAGGCCTTTCTAAACGACTTCACTATCCATTGATTTGTCTTCGCTTGTTTAACTATTGGGTTAATATTGCAGGCAGGCAAACAGTTGATCTTAACATATACAAGTGGTAAAATTAAAATATTTGTATAACCGATTTCAATATAAATTATCAAGGATAACTCACTCAAAAACTACTGGTGAGACCTTGATCAAATTTATATGGGACCACATGAGAAGCACCAGCTTTCAAATAAAAAAGGATCATTAAAATAGGTTCGCCCACACATAAAAAAACAGTCGAATTGATTACCTCCTCCTTTTGAAGATGGTAAAATATCTATACCTATAAATAAAAATCAATTGCCACATGTATGAAAGATCATCACTTGAATTCTCAAGTGATGATCTCTTAAACTTAACACTCTCTGTTCTGTACAATTTAGATTATAAATCGCCCGTACGGCTCTCTTTTGCAAAACAAATATAGCTTCAATATCAACCGCATTACCCCATAGCAAAATTCCATAAGAGATTACGCTATGAAAGTAACTAAAGTACACTAATCTAGCTGTCTCAACATCTGTGAGACTTCTAATCTTTGAAGTTTCGCGTCAATAGTAATACCAAGAAAAACAGTGGTATCCACAAGACTCAGCTCCTCCCCATTTAACAGCACATTGGTATTCAAATGTTTTACATTAGGTATTGTAAATTTAATACACTTTGTCTTATTGCCGTTTAAGAGCATATTTTTGGCGTTAAACCAATGTACCAATTTCGATAGAGCATTATTTACATCGTCATAATTAATTAACTGTCGTTTGAGTTTGAAAACTAAAGATGTATCGTCAGAAAATAATACTATATCGTGATTGTCCCCTACAAAATAAGGTAAGTCATTAATATAGATTAAAAACAGGAATGGGCCAAGAATCGAGCCCTGAGGAACGCCCATTGATACTACTGATCCAGAGGAACCTTTACCATTAATCTCTACTTTTTGAATTCTGTTACTTAAATATGAAGTAATAAGTCTAAGCGCAAAATTTTTTACACCGTATTGTTGTAGTTTCCTGATTAATGTCTCATGATGAACACAATCGAAAGCCTTGGAAAGATCACAGAATATACCTAAGGCATCTTGTGAATTCTCCCAGGCATTAAAAATATATTTCATAAGCTAAACACCGCCGCCATCAAGTGTGGTCCCATTTTAATTAAAACAAGCCTAATGGTTAAATAGAAATAAAAAACCCGACTGCGTAAAAAAGTTTATTGGAAAGAGAAAAAAAATATGCCTTATGCCATTTCACATATCAAACGAATTTTGTGACACCTTTATGTTCAAATGCTCAAATCATATCAATTCATGAAACTAATATATAGATAAGGATAAAATGTGGTTACCTGGGTAAATAATAAGGATTTTCAAAAACTACTTGGCAACACTAACAACAACTTAAAATCTAAAATTAATTATTATTAAATAATTAAAGCACCAATAACAAACATTCCAATTCATGATACAAACTAAAAATAAAATTGTCAAAATTAAAAATAAAGAATAAATTTAGCAAATCATATCCGATGTAAATTAATAATAAAATTGTTAATTATCAGCGAGTAAAATTTAAATAAGAGAAGAGAAATTTCGAAGAAATTTCACTGTTATAATTTTTTTTGTATGGATCTTTCATTGTACGCGGTAATTAATTGCAAATTTATTTTTATATAAGCAAATTTATTTAAAAATAGAACTCCATAAGCCAGGATAAGGCTTATGGAGTTCTATTTTTAAATAAATTTGCTTTTTTTTTTTTTATATAGGAGAGGGGGCAAACGAGCATGCGGCTCACCTGATGGTAAGTGACTACCG